GGAAAGAGACAAAAAACTGAGAGCTAAAATACATCTAAACTGGTTTGGCGTGTTTTACAAGGCAATTCTGACCTCCTTCCGTCTCTTTACTCAGCAGCTGGGAGCCAGCCATCTTGAAGCAGGTGGAACGGAAGGATGCTATTGGTTGTGGACTAGCCGGCAATTATTCCCCTTTGTATCCAGATGTTACAGCATTACAGGACTGTTTCAAAATGACCAGAGAATCTGTTACTGTTTCAAGTTTTTCTGAAACCTTAAGATCTTAAATTTGAAGCCATTCTCCAAGCTAGTAATAAGCAAGCTAACAAGACACAGGAACTAATCAGAGAAAAGGGACATTTGGTATACATTAGAAATTCAAGATCAGCTTTGTAAAGTTGTTAATAATTAGCCACAGCTTTTGTCTCTATCCCTGCAGCTAGTGACATGAAAGTGATTAAGTTTCTAAAAAACAGATTAAGCTAACTAAATGTATTAAGTAGCAAAGTTTTTAATCAACAGTTTATTGATTCCAGCAGGACAGTTGTGAGAGAAAAAAACTCTAGATACTAGTGGAACAGATTTATAGGCCAGTTCACAGCTACTTAAAAAATCAAAGTAATAGATATTTTAGAAGATTTTTTTTCCTTTGGTAGTAAATTCAAAACAATGAAAAAGTTACCATATTAAAATAGTATTTTAATATAAAACCAGCTTTGTACCTTTCTTTTTTTCCTCTTTTCAGGTTTATATTTTAGATAAAAAAGGTTAATAATGTGTCATTTTTAGAATCAGTTCTCAATAAACCTTTCTTGAGGATATTTCCAATCTAAAATAATACTCCTAAGGCAGAGTACCAAAAAACCCTGAAAATTCAGAAATGTAAAAATTTGCAGCCATACTAAAAATGATAGGCAACATAATGCCTGACTGAAATCTATAAGCAACATGATACCTGAATCTTGAATTATTGATTACCCCATAACTATGAAGCTAATAGAACTGGATTGAGTCAGACAAATCCTAGCTCTTCCACATTAAACACAGATTTCCCTCAAACAGACAAGAAATCTAGGGCTATACCAATCAGAAGACCAGGTGGTCATTCCTTTATGAATGGGTGTTACTTTTCGCGACATGTACTACTTACTGATTGCCATGTTTATCCTGTTCCATTGCCTGCATCCATTCTGGGATGGCAATTTACAACAAGTAGGTGGGAACAAGAGGAAAATGGTGCTGCACTGTGTTACCTGAGGTAAGTTGAAGACTAAAATGATTCCAACAGCAACAGGGGTTCAAAAAGAGAATAGAGAAGATGGAGGAAAAGAAAATAATTTAAGAATAATTTTCTAGGACTGAAAAGTTACAGGTTTACAGATCCATGAATTTTCAGGTTACAAAGGACCATAGATTGTCAAGTAGACTGGTATAGTGACACCCCCCATGTGTTTGATAGAGAGACCAAGAAATTGTGTTTAATTGTATTTCTTAACTAGGGGTGGAATTGTGAGGATTTTTCATTTCCCATTGTCTATATTTCTATATTCAGATTTTATTTTGAAAGTGACATTATCATCCCCAAATTTAAAATATCTCTATTTAAATATAACTAAAGATGTACTGTAATCAAGAAATGAAGGAAATTTGGGGATAGGCAGATATGGCATAAAATGCCTGCCTCTGTATGTATGTATATATGTATGTATGTATATATATATATGTAAATACATACATACATATATACAAATATCACCAGTTAATATATATGTATATATGTATGTACGTATATGTATATATGTATGTATATATATATTTAAATTTCCAAAATCATTACTTGTTTTTCTTAGGGAGGTCTTCTGCTCACTTTGGATATTGCTCCCTTCCTCTTTAGGGGCACTTAGTAGAAGTAGGACTTGAAATACATTATTTTTTGAACTTGGCTTATTGTTATCATGAGTAATAAACATTATCCAAAATA